TTAAAAACGAAACTTCTTCCCCTCCTACTTTCCCCGATCGCCCTCCCTCTCTGATTTCTTTGTGAAAAAAAAAGATTTCTTTCTTGTGTTCCGGATCCCGTTTGAACCGGATTTTTGCCGCCATTTCCGTTCAATGGGAGGTGTACGATCCGCCGGGTGGAGGAAAAACAAGGACCGGATAAAACAATGAGTTGGAGCACCTCACGTTTTGGTATTTAGTCCGTTCTCTGATTGTCTATGTTTGAACTTTTCCTTCTTCCTTAACAGATTCATATTTTTAAAAGAATCCCGGAAAAGTTACCCACCCACCCCCCACCCCTCCTTTTCACTCCACACTCACAATCTGGAAACTCACCTTTACCGTACAACTCAGGTGTTTGAACGACAAGCACGTGTAGGTAAGAACCCAGTTTAGGCATCGGCCTTGACCTCTATACCTCCCCCCCCCTCCCACCCCGTTTTATAAAAGAATAGAACAACAATGTCTCGCTTGCTGAGAAAAGAAGAAGAAGAAAAAAAAATACTGCAGGAGATAAAGGAAATGAGTACCGTAGTTTATAGCAGTAAAAAAAAAAACTACAATAGGAGAAAGGTTTAGCGTAGATTTCACCAGTAGGAAAATTACTACGCGGGATAGGTGGAGGTAAAGCGGTCGTTTTACCTGTTCCCGCCACTACGCGAAACAAAAAAAGGGCGCTGAACGATTCACGTCTGTAATGTATGCCCAGTAGTAAGGATGAGTTCGACGTCTGCTAGAAAGATGCCTGACCCATTTGAGATAGAAGAAATATCAGTCACGTGCTCATCAAAGACAGAATCAAAGCAGAATTTAGCAGATGATAAACATCAAGAAAGGAAAAACAAATTGTCGAAGAAAATAAAACGCACATACGAGATGTTTTTTTAAACGAATAGCATTGAGTTTAATAATTAGGAGAGATTTCTTAAATTCATGTCATGAGCTAAATAATTCAGATAGATGTCTTAAATTCATGCCATGAACTAAATAATTCGAAGAGATATCTTAAATTCATGTCAATGAGCTAAATAATTCGGAAAAGATGACAGTTAATTAAGAGTTAAAAAAAAACATTTAACATTGTTCACACTGACGAAGACCGGATACATCGTTGTTTAACCTGTTTTTTTTTTAATCTTGATGTTTTCGATGACCAATTTTACATTATGTGAATTCACGTGGTTTAATTATCTGTTTGTACTCAACTACTTCCCCTACCCTAAGTAGCGCCGGCATGGGCGTACCAGCATACGGTGTCGCCTTAGGGATAAAACCGCGAATCTGACGCCCCTGTATATAAATATTTACATGGACAAAAGCTTGATTTCATGGCAGTCCCAATAGAGATTAGATTTATACCGAGAAAAAAAAATTGGAATCACCTGGGGCATATTCCCCGCTTTAACGACTGGGCCCACCCTGGTTGTACAATGGATAACATGCATAGTACCTTCTTCTTCGTTCTTAATTTTAGTGTTGGAAGGGATCCCCTCCAATACAATTAAGTATTACGTGTCAATGCGCCATTGAGGCCATTGAAACCGAGTTCAGCCTGCTTTTCTTTTTTGGGTTTGCTTCCATAGCCTTTGCCCATCCAAGAACGAACTACAAGGCAGCAGTTGTTTGATATTTGGAGTTGTCTCTCCTAGACGAGTTGCTGTGCCCAGCTGTCGAGCTTCATAAACCCGGGGATTCACGTACCCCAACAAAATGAACTGAATTTATATAGAAAATGTATACTTCTACCGTATCCACCCCCGCCCCCCTTTGTAATTTAGTCCGCCCCCCCCCCCCGGAAAAGTTCAAGTGTCGTCCCCCTCCCAGCACCGGAGAAAAAAGTCTGAAAGAAACACTAAATACTGACCATCTTTGTTACCATTCCGATATATTGTTTGTATGCACCCCCCCCCCCCCACCCTTTTCCGAATTAATATTAATAATATTCGAACGGAGATTCTATAATACAGACTACTAATTATTTACAATCTGTGTATTGTATGAGCGAAAGAATGAAATTCGTTTCGGACGTCAAATTAATGAGATTTTTAACTTTAAACAAATAAAATAAAATAAAAGCGACAAAAAAAAAGAATGAAAAAAAAAACAATAACAAATGAACAGAGTCGAGTAATGAGTTTAAAAAGTTGTTGCTATGTCAGAGTGACCGGCTGCAACCATTGTTGATTCTCTTCAGTTTCCTGCCTGGGGATTATGTCCCTTTATTAAGCGAGGTAACTCTAGAAAACTAAGCTTAAAGGGATTTTTTTTTGTTGTTGTAATTTGTTATCTCTCGCTCTCTAATGGAATAATTATTTAATTTGATTTGTAGCGCTGTGTGTATGCGTGTGTATTTGTGGGCGTGTGTGTCTGTGTGTGTGTGTGTGGAGGTGTGAGGTTTGAAAGGAGACATTGGTAGGATTTAGAAATGGGGGGATGGAACGGCCTGGCCTAGCGGTAGAGAGCTAGACTGCTACCACCGGAAGGCTCGAGGTTGAGTTCAATTCTGTGGAACCGTCCCCGAGTCCACCCAGCTCTGATAGGTACCAAGCTTATGTTAGGGAAAGTAAAGGCGGCAGGGCATAGAACTGACCAAGAAAATAATATGAGAACTACATCATGTGTCCAATGGATCGCTAAGTCTAAAGAGGAATCTTTATTTCTAACTTTACTTACAGATAAGACATGGAAGGGAGAGTACGTCACAACGCTAATATACTTTGGTATTTATTTATACGCAACGACTGGTCAGCGATGTGAAAGTGTATTCAAATCTAAAGTTCTAGATTTAAGTATTTAAAAGAATACATTTTAAAAAAATCTAGAAAAAAAAACTTCATTTAGTTAAGATTCTCGTAGATTGTTTCATCTTTCATTGAAAAGATAAAGTAATGAACCATCTCCAAGATACAGAGATGAAGGCTAAAGATACAAAACCTGCAATCTGAACAGGAATTTCTCTCCCCACCCCCATCTCCATACGCTAGTTATCACCCCCCTCCCCTACAAGTACACCCTACCCTTTCATACTAGCTCTCTACGTAACTGACAGATCTAACCCCCCTCCCCACAAGCTAACACCCCCCCTCCCTTTTCATATACCCATTTACTACATCCCCTACCTACAAACCTATCTTACATTACAAATTAGTCCCCCCCCTCCACTCCAACCCCTGCCCGGGAATTAATTACAACAACATTCCGAGTCAGATTGACACTGATAATCTTGTCGGCGTTGGCCGGCTCACCCCCCCCCCCCCACCCAGCGCATGTTACGTATCTTATGCTCACACTGATAAACATGCACACGCGCTGTTCTGGAATGTTCGCGTGTGTTGGGAACAGGAATTGCCAAAACCAGGACTGGAACCTGCACACGTTGTATCGGTGGCCTTATTAGATTCAAACCTACAACCTGGATGGTGATGTCGGGGCTAAAACCTACACCATTTATACCTATGGCCATACATAGGATGAAACATCGCTGGCCTTATTAGATTCAAACCTACAACCTGGATGGTGATGTCGGGGTTAAAACCTATGAATGAAACATCGCTAGCCTAATTAGATTCAAACCTACAACCTGGATGGTGATGTCGGGGTTAAAACCTACACAATTTATACGAATGGCCATACATAAGATGAAACATACAAACTTATATATGGCCACACTTACGCCGAAACCCACTCTATATTAAGATAATTTATACTAGCCATTCATAAGCTAAAATCTACAGTGTTTCTTTCTAGGGCGGGGGAGGGGACAGAAAATATAATTTATATAGAATGGACCCCCCCTGCTCCCGGAGAGTTTAGTCCGCCCCGCCCCTCGCCCCCGAAAAAAAGGTTGCCTACAAACTGTATACCCTACCTATACCCAAGCTAAAATCTACAAACTGTATACCCTACCTATACCCAAGTTAAAATCTACAAACTGTATACCCTACCTATACCCAAGTTAAAATCTACAAACTGTATACCCTACCTATACCCAAGTTAAAATCTACAAACTGTATACCCTACCTATACCCAAGCTAAAATCTACAAACTGTATACCCTACCTATACCCAAGTTAAAATCTACAAACTGTATACCCTACCTATACCCAAGTTAAAATCTACAAACTGTATACCCTACCTATACCTAAGCTAAAATCTACAAACTGTATACCCTACCTATACCCAAGTTAAAATCTACAAACTGTATACCCTACCTATACCCAAGCTAAAACCCACAGGCCTGATTAGGACAACTCTTAACAAGCCCAAACATTCCCACAAAGACCTGTAAACACTACTCAACTATTGCTCTGACTAATCTCTTGTTCAGCGTTCCCAGGTATTGTTCGGGCATTGGCATTTTAACTAGAAGGAAAACAAATGTTTGCCTCTTTATTTTTTTATTTTTTATTTTTTTTTTATAAAAAAAAACCCACAACATAAATTAAATTTCGACCTATGATGAGTTATAGATCAGAAGCTGATATGTCAAAAAAAAAAAGTTTCTTATACCATCAGACAACCTGGTCCTCACTTTTTAAACATATAAATATATAGGGTGGTGGCTCCAAGGGGATGGGGGGTAGGGACGGATATTTCATGTCTGGTCTAATATACACACCACGACAAGTGTGATCAGACAAAACCAATGCTTTAACTAATACAAATTGTACTAGGTTTTAAAAATGTAAGTGGTAAAATGTTAAGTTATTAGACGTGTTCACGTTGGATTATTTTTTTTGTTGTTTTTAAGTTTCCGGTAGTTTAAATCTTATTCCAATTGCAGCGCCATCGCTACTTAAGGTCGGACTCACGATTCGGCTCCAACTAGATAAAGCCCAACCTGGGGTGAATACCCCCTACTCGTATTTGGTACGCCAATTTACATGCGTATTGTTAATTAACATGGAATATTTAAAACAAATACATGCAGATTTTAATAAGCGATTTTGCGGTAAAGAATGATAAGCAAAGAGAGCACTTACTTTCACTGATTCGATCCTTCAAGGACTTGGGTGTAGAGGTCGTACTGGGCTTGCCGTCAGGGGTGACAGGGGCAGAACTCTGGGCGTAGGTTGGCGTGGGGGTGCTCTCCCCCGTCGTGGTCGGCACCTGCGCCTGAACACTGGGCTCGGCCTCCACCTGGATCTGAACCTCCGCCCTCGGCTCGGGGAACGGTTGCGCCGCCGCCACGTCCACGGAGGATCCGTCCTGGTAAGGAGCCACTTCCGGTCCAGTCGCGTCATCGTCTTTCTGTCCATGGTCGTAGTCCTGGTCGTAGCCTTGTTCCTGGTAGTCTTGTGGCTGTTCCAGGCTAGTGTCCCCTTCCCCTTCCTCTCCGTCTTGCTCGCCTTCGTCCATATCGATCTCTTCTTCATCCTGGGTCTCCGGCTGATGTAGATAACCTTCATCAGCGATGCCGTTGGGGTGGAATTTACTTCCGTTCTGCCTTCCGTAATTCTGTTCCTCTGTATCCATTGTTCCTCTTTTATTTCCTTTCGCACAACTTTTGCCTTTGAAAAATGAAATTTATTTATATTTTCATACGTTTTATATTTTCACTGATACACACTTTTTTTTTACCTCAAGGATATTCTCATATGCGTTTTGGAAGCTTCACTGAGAAAACTGGAAGGCAGACAAAATGGAGGGAAAAGTCTTTATAACCGCCAGGTAAAAATATTGATCAGATGATAGGTAAACTACAGGTATGTTTGCTTTTTAAATCTGGAAGCTGTTTGATGTCTTGATGAAAAAATGTTGAGATTTTGATATATCCCATCAGAAAAAAACAACAACCAAACTCACTGAGTAGCAGTTAGAGGGAGAAAAACAGATGAAAAAGCAAATTGTCGTTATGAGTACACGCTAATGTTAATTAACGTTAAGGAGGGTTTTATTGTATTCTAATGATGAGCTAATAAAACATCATTATTAGGTCTGCCGGCAGACCTAATAAAGACATCATTATTAGGTCTGCCAAACATCTACGTTAAGATCCCCAAAACTGTCAGTATAGAGAATTAGAACAATACTAGAATACCCGTCATCCGTTGGATAACTGTGGGTTTCGGGGGTCATCCATCAAAAAACATCACGTCTGTCACTCAGAGGCATAGCGACCCTTCCCGGCGCCCGGGGACAAAGTTTTCGATTTGAACCCCCCCCCCCCCCCCCCCCGCAAGATTTCGATTTGACCCCCCCCCCCCTCAAACTTTTGATGTGCACACCCCCACCCCCACTCAAACTTTCGATTTGAACCCCCCTCAACCTTTCAATTTATTTTTCCAAACCATTTTGGCGCCCCAACATATGTCTCCCCCTTCCCCCATCCACCTCCCCCGCCTCCCCTTCCCCCCCCCCCCGCCTCCCCTCCCCTACCGTCCCCCCCCCCCTCCTCGCTACGCTACTGCAGTGTCACTTATCGTCACAAAAACCAGACCCCACATTCAAAAATATGTTTTTTATCTTTTAAAAACACCGTAAACACCGATTTCGGACTATCCCTTCATATACTGACGTCACATGTGACCTACTCAACTCTACTTCACCTGCCCAGTGTCCCGCCAAGTCTAAGACAACATGTATTTATCGTTTAAAAAACGATTCCAGCCGAGCATGTCTCTGACCACACTATCCTTTCATATGCTTAGGACAAAGAAACAGATGTGCTCTACTTCACCTGCCCTGTATCTTGCCAAGTTCAGATAGGCAACTTTATCATTCACATCTAAAAAAAAAAATTGAAAAAAAAATTTCATCGACATATTGGTCTAGAACCCATGCCACCTCCATGTGAGCCGACTACGCTACAAGCTTAGCTATTTACTCGTGACGTCACAAGTGAATTTTAATACTATACTATGCGTCTCCTTATGCAACTTGATTTACGCGGATAGATTCTAGATCTAGATCTAAGTCTAGTAGTACTAACTTTCAAATTAAATTTTATCTTAAATTAGCCAAACAAAGATTTATATAAAATAATTAAGGCCTGAAAAAGATTCTAGATGTAGAATTTACATTGAGTCTAGTGACCTACATCTAGGCTAGATCTAGATCTAGATCTAGGCTAGATTCATAACTTTCCTTCGATAGCTGATCTTTAGATCTAGAGAAATTTATCGTAAAACTAAATGAAAAAGACAGTTGAAAATTGATATAAGTGTTGGAACGTAATAAATACAGCAAACGGACGTATTGTTTAAGTTATAGCCGGCAGAAAATTAGCTTTGTAACGCGTTAAACTTTTGAATGGGCCACAAAGTCTATGATGGAGTCCGCCATTTTTATTGTACAAAAAAAGTAAACACATCAAGGGACGTCACTATCCCCACAAAGTTTATTCAAAGTATTAACATTTTTAAAAAAATACGGTTAATTTAACAATGAATAAATCAATAAATCAATTAACGTCTTTAAATAAATTTGTGATTAACAGTCTGTCTTAAAACAAAATTTTTTCTCTACCTACATACTATTTTACAGCTTTCCACAATGAGTGCAACCATGCGAGATAGTCGATCAGGCAAACAAACAAACAAACAAAAAAACAAACAAAAAAACAAATACATATTCAAACATGTAAACAAACTTGACTTTTAGTAGTATATATATATATATATATATATATATATATATATATATATATATATATATATATATATATATTCGAAGTGACTACTCAGAAGAAGATTTTTCTCCCCAACGTCTCCACTTAGTCGGCAAAAGATAGCTCTGCGCATGTGCAGTGACCTATGGCTAGTGTCAGGGCTAGAATTAGGGATAGGGTTAGGGATAGGATTGGGGCTGGGGTTAGGGATAGGATTAGGGATAGGATTAGGGCTAGGGTTAGGGTTGGTGTTAGAGTTCTGCAGTGTTAATAACACGCATGCGCAGTACCATCGAAAACATCGCCGCGATGGCAAGTCGTAGTTTCTCTTCAATGCGCATGCGAATCTTATTCCGGATAGCATCGGCCATATATATTTACAAGCGTAGAAAAGAGTACATTTTATATTCAAAATATTAACTTCCCTCAGTAGCGAGAGATCCAAAATTAAATTAAAAAATTAATTTAAATTAAGTGCACAGACAATGCTGGAATCTTTGTTCAAGTATTGTGTCGTGTTGAGTTTAAAATTGCCTTATATTGTATGCATACAAGTACTTTTTTATTTGAAATTAACATATTCACATATTCTTTTATTTAATTAAATATGTTTATTAGTTTTAATTTAAAAAAATTAATTTACCTATTTACATTTTGTTTTTTATGGAATATTTTTAGTTGTTTAGTTAATTTTAGCGGATTATTTACATGTTGACTCATTTATTTCCCTTCTATTAGATTTACAAAGGGAGGTAAATACTATAACTGCTTTAAATCACTGTCGTCTTGATGTTTACTGTTACACCTGTTTATTGAAACAAAAGTATAACTTGAGGTTTGCTTTGCTGTAGTTTATAGGTAATTAAGAATTCCACTTAAATTTCAACTTACCATAATATGGATGTTTAAAATGGATAGCTTATATATATATATATATATATATATATATATATATATATATATATATATATATATATATATATATATATATATATATATATATATATATATATATATTATTGATAGTTAGGAGCTATGATAGTATGGACATTTAATATGGATTTCTAGTATGGCTTTTCAGTATGGGTTTTTGTTAGCATAGGGCAGGGGTCGGCAACCTTTTGATATATATATATATATATATATATATATATATATATATATATATATATATATATATATATATATATATATATATATATATATGTGTGTGTGTGTGTGTGTATGTAAATACATGTATATATGAGTATATGAGTATAGATATGAACTTTTTCTACGCGTGTATAGACAATATATATATATATATATATATATATATATATATATATATATATATATATATATATATACTTTTAGGAACATTTTTATATTCATGTGTGTGTGCGTGCAGCTACCTTTCAACCTAACTATCGGCCTAATAATAAAATTTTTGAATTTTGAATTCCGCGCGGACATATTGAGAAAGTATAAATAGCTAGCCTGGAATTAAAAATCGAAAATATCCAGGTAACATCAGACATGGATCCACGGATAAGATTAAGCTTGTCCATTTCTGGAATAAATCCTCACGCGCAAGGTTGGAGAGCGTGAGAAACGGTCAAATCTACGCCTTGCACGTGCTGAGGATTCAACCTTTCGAAAAACGGAGGTTGACCTACTTTGAGAAAAACCACGCTACTAATAAAAAGAAGAAAAAAAACGTATGGAAGACCGGGTTTACAGCTAGTAAAATAATTATTGGCATTTGTTTGTAAAAGTCGTGAATTTCCATGTACGATTGTACTCGCGTTTAGAAGTAAAGAAACAAATTAAATTTACTTAGTTGTGTATACATAATATAATAAAACTAGGAGAAATGATTACCTGCTAGAGATGTAGTAAAAACCTTGTCCTAGTTTATCACACGATGTGGGTTCGCCGCCACCTCAAGACCCGCAACAAGTCGAACTATAGTATTTAAAAAAAAATTGTGTCGGCACGGTAGCCGGTATTTGCCCCCTCACTCACAGTAGCCGGTATACGCCCCCCGCTTTTCTCGTGCTCCTCAAAACTTCGCTTCTAGTAGCTCACCTACAGCTCACCCCTGCCCTCCCCCCTCCTCCAACCCCTACCCCCACCCCCGACTTCCATGCTACTCACCGTATAGTTTTATTCCTTCGGTTTCTTCACTATCGTTAGTCTTTCGTTTCTCTAGTGATCGGAGATAATGAAAGTACAAGGATAAGGGTTGGTGGTGGGGGGTGGGGGGGGGGGGGGTGGGGGGTTCGAGGGAGGGAAAGAAATCGTGAGTGGGGTGGGGGGAATGAGCAGTCGAATACAGTAAAAAGGTGGAAATCTTAGCGTTCTAACTGGGGGGGGGGGGGATGGGGGGGGGAGTTTAGAAGATAGGGGTGGGTAGACGAGGTATGGTCTGGCTTGAAAGAAAAGAGATAAGGCTGGGCTAGTCCCCCCTCCCTCTCCCCCTTCTCCTCCCCCCACCACCCCACCACCTTTGTCTACTCCTGTAGATACTACGGCATCTCTCTTGGTACCACACGTGAAATAGATGAAGCCGACGTTTAGCCTTGAACATCCCCCCACCCCCCGTTGAGCGGCGTACACACAAAGCGTTGCGAGGCGTGGACTCCACCGAATCGAGCCTCGGCTCAATCTAACTCAATTGGCCAAAGATCAGCGATAATTTTAGGGGGAAAACAAACAAACAAACAAACAAACAAACAAACACACCACTACCAATAGAAATACCACAATTTTTTTAAAAGGCTTAAACATAAATCTGGTGCAAAGTTGTTTTAAAAAATCTAAAAAAAAATTAAAAATCCTAAAATTAAAATAAATCACGGATTAATTAACTACTAAATGTAATACAGATCATTGTGATGATAGAGACTGCAAAGTAAAACTAACGCATCCATTTCAGCAGTTAACAGTCAATAGGGCAGGTGAAGTAGAGTTCATATTTGTGATGACGGTGACTGTTGAAATTAAAATTACGTGTACGGTGGTTCTTTTATATTACTCGCAAGTTACGTTATGTTAGTTTATGTAAAATGGCTTGCATGGTAAGTTATGAGCCAGTTTATATGATTTGCACGTTAAATTATATGCTAGTTTAAGTTATATGGCTTGTATGTCATATGGATTAAAATATTGAATGATTTGAAACCTACACAAGCTGCAGTGCTATAGCTACCCAGGGTGCGATCATGAATCTGAGCCTCTTCTGTACTGATTATTATACTAATAAAAGTGGCACCTAGATGGGGCTGCCCCCCCCCCCCCTCCTCCAATTACTAGCCTCAACTTCGTCACATTGTAATTGTTATATGTGTATTAATAATCACAGAATTGTTACCTCTATTAAAACATACACATAACTTTACCCTAACTCTATTCTGTGTAAAGTAAAGTATTTCCAAAACAAATCGAGAGTACCGTGTTTGAAGTCTAGATTTTTCTGTTATTCCTTCCCTTCGTTTTATAGGTTCATAATATTAACGCTACAACGGTGAAAAAAATTCATTTATTATTGTAGTTCTGACGAATAACAACACAACCCCTCCTGGCATGTTTATAAAGATCCAGGTTTTTTTCCTATTTGAGCCAAACTTATCGTTTGCGGTATCGACATCTCGCGTTTGGCGTTATGGTCTGAACTAGCTTGTTTTCCCGTCTCTCTGCTAGGCTTCCAATGTTGTGTGGTTTTTGGGAGAAAGCAAAAGCTACGCAGTACAGGAGGGGGGGGGGGGGGGGAGATAAGAGAAGGTGAAGAGATAGAGAGAAGGGAATAGAAGCATAGAAAATAAATTTGGAAAATGTGTCGGAATAAAAAAAAAAACACGTTGAAGATGTCCTGTTTTATTTCAATTTTAATTCTGAACAGTTAATATTATATAGATGTAACTGGGGTAGGCCTAACTACCAGTTACAAATGATAACGAACGAGAAGCCGAGACACAGTGTTGGTCTGATGCAACCGATAACAGGTGGCTTATTGGGTCGGGCTGATAACAACCTCAAAGCCAACGCGTGCTATTTTGGGAAACGGTATTCAGACGGCCTGTCAACTTTGATGGATAGGACGCAGATGTTATTTTACGGTCTGTACGTTTGAACTACGCAACTGGTGGTCGGAGATCGAGTACAAGTATCGATTACGGAGGAATACAAGTACGGGGACGAGTACGGATACAAGGCATAAATAGGAGGGCACGGCAGGACTCGTTCTCTCTCTTCCCGTTTCAGCGAGCTCTCTTCCATCTTCATCGCTCGCTTAGATCAGTCAGTCTGTGTGACTATGTCAAGTCGGTTATAGAACGGGTTAGCCGTATTGTGTTAAGGAGGATTATAGACATGTGGATTCAGTTATATAAAGCCTAGTGAAGGACTGTTAGGGGTCAGTTGATTCAGACTATTATTGAGAAGCATTCCTGTTGATTTATTGTGTTATTATGAAGCATTTCTTGATTCATGTAATAAAGGATCAATAGCGAACCTGCATCTTGAGTATCTATACTGTGGTCAATGTTGTCTAGAATGAGTGGTTAAACTCGTTAACACGTGGCACTACAGGCAATTAGGTCTCATTACATGTGGCGTTGCGAGCATGGTAACTGTTGGCTCGTTACAATTGGCGTTGTCGGCAGGATAAATGTTCGCTCGTCACAATTGGCGCTGCGATCAGGATGAATTCAACTAGACTTGCCGTTTAAGGCACCTATAGTCAACCTTGTGCATAACTGTGTTTAGTGTGTGTGTGAATTCGGACATTCAGGAACTGTGAAAATTGAGGAAGGAGGAAAAATTTTTCATACACACACGGTAAGAAAGAACTCTTTTTTTTTAGTACTTAAGGAAGAAAATGTCTACTCTGGACGAGAAGCAGACCCATATAGTGGTCCTACCCAGAGAGTCCCATATTAACAAATTTTACGGGGACGGAGACCCAACTTTAACCAACAGGTTCAGTGAAGAGGTCAAAGCGGCCTGGGCCTCGAGACATATGTCACCAGAGGAAAGATTAAGACTGCTGATGGGTAGTATAGGTGAAACGGTCAGGGCAGAGGTTAAGTGCCACGATAGGACCGTCCAATCAGATCCAGATAAGGTGCTGGATCTGATTATGGAGACCTTTGGGGAGAGACGGTCGGGAGTGCAACTGCTATCGGGATTCGTGGGCTTAAAGCAGAGAATGGCGGAGAGTGTGATGGAGTACTCACACAGGATGAACAGGGCCTTTGATTTGGTAAAGGGCAAATCACCGGACATTGATGTACGCCTACTGAGGGACCATTTCATCGAGGGGCTAGCAACCCCGATCTTAAGGAGAGAGTTGAAGGAGGAGGTCCACAGAGACCAGCAGTTGACCTTCCTTCAGGTCAGGAACTCAGCGATCCGCAGGTCCGAGGATGAGGACCAATCGAACTGTTCGGTGGACAAAGTCTCTGTGCCTGAACAGAGACAATCCCCACCCACAGGGGCCGACACGATGGAGACCATGATGGCTCAACTGTTGGCCCACCTAGAGAAGGTTGACCAACGCTTGAAGTGGTTGGAAAGCAGGTCAACAGCTGAGAATCAGGAAAAGAACGGGACAGAACGGGGACGGGTTGGACGGCCGCGTCCTGCCAAGCCATCACTCCAATGGACGGCAGACGGTCGACCAATTTGTTTGTCTTGTTCACAACCCGGACATATGGCACGGTACTGCCAGGGAAACGGTCGTCCTCTGTAAGGCAGGGCCAAGCTACAGAGGGGCGAGGTTATGGCCCAAGAAGCAAAATGATGGGAGTCTGTCCCGAAATGGTGATTACGATTGGGGACATCGCGGTGAAGGCAATTGTGGATACAGGCTCCCAGGTGACGACAATCACGGAAAATTTTTACACCAAATGGATGAAAGGAAAAGACCATAGGTTGAGGTCTGACACAGGCATGCGCCTGACGGCAGCTAATGGACTAACCATTCCATACTGTGGTTATTTTCTGGCGGATGTCGTGGTGGCAGGACATAGGTTGAAGCAGGTTGGGGTGTTCGTTACGAAACACAACCTAGAGACAAATGTGTCAAATATACCTTGCCTGTTGGGCATGAATATTCTTGGCCAGTTGCCAGAATTTCTTACAAATATTGTCGGATCGACCACACCAGGTCGGGGATCCAAGTTGGCCAGGTTTGCCAAGACCAGAGGAAGGACAGCAGTCCCGGCAAACACGGTCAAGGCAATCACATTAAAAATTGGTGATAGAAGCGTGAATGGTGATGTGATGATAGAACCATGTGGCGCCGCACTGAGGGCAGGCGTCGTGTTACTGCGGACATACACATCAGCGGAAAACGGACTAGTTCAAGGGTTGGTAGCAAATGTTTTGGATGAAGAAATTTTTATACCGCCTAACACTCTGGTAGGAGTACCACAGAACGTCGAGGTACAAAGGTCGGCACAGTGCATCGAACTGATCAATACCAGTAGTAATGAAGTAACAATTAGGTCGGTCAATGTGACGGCCGAGGTGAAGAAAGAAGATGGCCGATCATATACATTCCCGGAAACTGAGGACCCAAAACTAAATGAATTGCTGAAGAAATACAGTGATATATTTGCCTCGTATGAGGGTGATTTGGGGTACACGGAAGTAATAAAACACCAGATACCCTTACTACAAGACAAGCCGGTGGCGCAACCTTATCGAAGATTGCCACCAAGTCACTACTCTGCGGTGAAAGCACACCTGAACGATCTACTAAAAAAGGGAATTATTACAACCAGTACGAGCCCATATGCGGCACCGATTGTAGTGGTAAAAAAGAAGTCGGGGGAGATAAGACTGTGTTGTGATTACCGGAAATTGAACAATATCACAAGAAGGGATGCATTCCCCTTGCCTCGTATTGATGAATGTCTTGATGCGTTGGGGGGAGCAAGATTTTTTTCTACCTTGG